AACGTTGAAAAAAAAAAAAAAAGAAAAAAAAAGTTTTTTTCTACAGGTTTTTCATAACTACTAAGGCTTCTAGCGTGTCTTTGTCCATTCTAAAGTCAAGTTGTAGGTAGTATCTGATTAGTCCAGGAATAATAAAATAAATACTTCACTAGTCCAACTGGACTCAGAGATAGATACTGCACTAAATTAGCAAGGCCTAAAAATCAGTAGGTCAAAGCAAGGACTCTGAGACATGACCTTGCCTCTTCCAAAATGAAGTAAAAGGATTAAGGGCATTCAGACATTGGAAGCTGCGATGGCCTTAGCTTCACTGCCCCGGTCCCTGGGACAAATAGAAGTAGTTGCTCTGAGAGAGAGACATGAACCTTATTATCAAAATACAGGGCAGGAGAGGGATGAGCCAGCCTCAGTTTTAGTGGACTACTATTGGGTACCTACTCTGAACTGGTCACTGTGTTCAGACATAGCAGAAACAAAAATAGGTCAGTCAGCGTCTCCATCCTGGAGCATCCCAGAGTCTAGCGGGAGGAGGCATACAGGAAAACAGCGTAATTTGTGAAGTCTAAAATGACATACACTTGCTGGCGCAGGGCATTTACTTCAGGGATTATTTCTTCCTGGAAGCCTTCCTTGAATCTCCAGGTTGGGCTCATTCCCATTTGGTCAGTGTGTCTGGGGATGGAGGTAGGGAAGAAAGGGACATCCCAAGCAAAGAGAGCAGCAGAAGCAAAAGTTCAGAGATGAATAACAGTAAGGTGTGCGTGGAGACCTGTATGCAAAAGAAAGTTCCAGACAAGGGGTGCCCCTCCCCCACGGGGCTCAAACACAGGAACTATGAGATCATGACCTGAGCCGAAGTTGGGCACTTAACTGACTGAGCCACCCAGTGTCCCAACGCTGCCTACTTTTTGAATCACCGAGTTCTTTTTCTCTCCAGCATTGTCCTCAGCTTTCTGCAGCTTTGCTGATGGCTCAGAGTCTGGAGCCTGCTTCAGATTCTGTCTCCTTCTCAGCCCCTCCCCCACTTATGCTCTCTTTCTCTCTCTGCTCCTCCCCTGCTTGTGCTCGCTCTCTCAGAAATAAATAAAGAAACATTTAAATGTTTAAAAAAAAAAAAAAAGTAGCATAAACTTTCTATGTAAAGAACAGAGAGCTATATACTGGACAAATTCCAAAACCTGCTAAAGAGATAATCCTTATCTTCCCTCATGACACTTGTAACTAGTGGCAAATTAAATCTAAAGCTTCAAAAACGCCCAGATCCAGCTCAACTACAGATTAGAATGACTTAGCCTCCACTCTAAAGGCCTGACATAGGAAGAGGCATGAACTTTTTCAGGGAAAATATCATTTGCTATTGTTCTTTCTCACACAATGCTTGGCATATAATAAAAAAAAAGCATGAGATGTACTAAGAAGCAGTAAAATGTGAGTCATAATTAAGAGAAAAATATTCAACAGAACCAGATCTATAGATGTCACAAATGTTGGCCAGAAAGGGTAAACATAAAACAAATTTCTTTAAGAGATTATTGACTATATAAAGCAAAAAAAGTTCCCATAAGAAAAATATAATATATACAAATATTTGTATATAATTTGTAACTATGTGTGGTGATGGATGTTAGCTAGACTGATTGTGATAATCATTTCACTATATATGTATCAAATCATTCTGTTGTATACCTGAAACTCAAAATTTTACATGTCAATGATATCTCAATAAAAAATAAACATAAAAAAGAATGGGCATGATTGTTTATATATCATTAATATACACAACACACACACAGTAACTAGTCTTGGGAAAATAAAGTGCAAAATTGAAATCTTGGTTGAAGGTTTCAATGACCTCAAGAAAGAAAGAATAAATGATATCTAAGATATAGCTATATAAAGACATAGAAGATTTGAAGGTTAATAAGCTGGATTCAACAGACAATGAAAATTTTATCTTCTTGTTGTAGAATATTCATTATTATCAAACTTAACAGAAAAACTGACTGTATTTTGGTCCGCAAAGAAAATCTCAATAATTTCCAAACAGCAGAAATTTTATAGGCCACCATGCATATTATCTGACCAGAGGTAATGAAATTAGGAATTAATCATAACAGTTAACTAAAAATAAATCCAACTCCTTGTGAATGAAAAAGAAAACCCTTATGTAACTTGACATAAAGAGGAAATGAAACCTTCACTGAACCTTCACGCTAGATATTAACCACAGTGAAAATTATACATTTCAAAACTTCATGGGATGCGTTTTCATTTAGGTCAGAAGCAGATCAGGAATGTTGCCGTCACCACTGCAACTTATTACTGTTAGAAAACTTCTTAGCAAGGCAATTAACAAGAAATAGAAATAAATAAGGAGTGCTACAAATCAGAAGGCATGCATGAAGAGTTCATCTATGGGAACATTTTTAAAACTTTTTGTTTGCAACTCGTGGCAAAATACTCATATTTCTTCATGATACAGTACAAAAAACAGACTCACGGCAGAAACAGAAGTTTCACCCAACTATGAACAACGCACACTAATACTTTCTTGTTCTATTCTACTCTAGGTGTTTTTTTTAATACTGATTAGCAATCCATAAATTGATTTTACTGTCCACTATGGATCAAGACTTGTGTTTGGAAAACACTGATATGAGCCACGTACCTGAGTATTCCTGAATCCCTCCTGTCCTTTGAGAAGAAGTTTGTTAGGCAATATTCACACAATATTTATTGTATGCATGCTTCGCCTACCAAACCACTTCTAGGAACATATTCTAAGAAAGTTGTATATATAAGCATCTATATTATGCTGTTATTTATAATATAAGTTAAAACGCAATTTAGGGGCGCCTGGGTGGCTCAGTCGGTTAAGTGTCTGACTTCGGCTCAGGTCATGATCTCACAGTTTGTGAGTTCGAGCCCCGCGTCAGGGTCTGTGCTGACAGCTCGGAGCCTGGAGCCTGCTTCAGATTCTGTGTCTCCTTCTCTCTCTCTCTGCCCCTCCCCCCACTCATGCTCTGTCTCTCAAAAATAAATAAATGTAAAAAAAAAATTAAAAATAAATAAATAAAGCAATTAAATGTTTGAAAGTAGAGATGTGGTCAAATTATGGTATATCCATATAATGAAGTACCATGCAGGCACTAAAATCATTATGTCATTTGTATTTACTAGCATAATATTTTAGGTGAAAGGCTAGTAAATAGTATGTAAATGGATGATCTCATTTTTGAAAATATTTAAAGCATATTTGTGTCCAAAAAAAGAGAGGCAATGAATGTAATATGAATGTGGGAAATTAAAATAAGAAAATAAATTGAGTATAAGAAAAGGTAAATTTAGTGGCTGGTTTGGTAGACTTTTGTGGGCTAATTGAAGTCATTCTGAACTCCTTCCTCGCTTTCCATCACTTTATGGTAGAAGGAGGAAAGCCTTCTTATTTCCCCAGAGCCCTTTGTGGCTAGGAATGGTCATGTGACCTAGTATCTCAGAAAACTGAGATCTGCTGAGGAGCTGAGGGTGGGAAGCTTTGCTCCCGGATGAAAGATAAAGTGCTTTGCTGGCATTGCCTCTTTCTGTCTTTTCCAGTTTGGAATGCAGGTTGTGATGACACAATCCTTGAGTCACAGAAGCCATCTTGAAACTATGAGGCAACATGTATTTCGTTAAAAAGTAAATATGCGAAAATGTAGTCAAAGGGTATGACAATCCTGGGTTTTTTAAATGAGGTTGTTGGGGTGCCTCGGTAGCTTAGTCGGTTAAGCATCTGACTCTTGATTTCAGCTTGGGTCA